TGTGCCACTGGCACCCTCTCCAACCTGACCTGCAACAACAGCAAGAACAAGACACTGGTGACGCAGTCAAACGGAGTGGAGGCCCTGATCCACACCATCCTGCGGGCGGGTGACAAGGAGGACATCACCGAGCCGGCCGTCTGCGCCCTGCGGCACCTCACCAGCCGGCACCCCGAGGCCGAGATGGCCCAGAACTCGGTGCGCCTCAACTACGGCATCCCCGCCATTGTCAAGCTCCTCAACCAGCCCAACCAGTGGCCACTGGTTAAGGTAAGGGGCCGGAGGGGTGTTGTGGGCAGGAGGAGTCCAGTGCTCGGGCTGGAGCGAGCTCCTGCCTGCTGTTCTGTGGTGGGATGGGCTGCTGAGGGGGTCTGGTGCTGTGCACGGAGTGATGGTGGCTGCTGCTGCCACAGCCCTGCTGCTGTTGGGTCATGTCCTTGAGAGCAGCTGATGAGGGAAAGTGGCTCATGCCTGCTGCTTGTTGGAATTGAAGCTCAGCTTGGGGAGAGGATGGATCCAGGGCAGGGAGGAGTGGAGGCAGCCTGCACCACGGAGGGGATAGGGTGGGACAGATGGGTGCAGCCAGTGGGTGTCTTGGGGAACACGTGCTGCTCTGATCCACAGTTGAGACAAATGGCTCCTTCCTCCTCCCCTCCTCCAGGCTACCATAGGCCTGATCCGCAACCTGGCCCTGTGTCCGGCCAACCACACCCCGCTGCAGGAGGCCGCCGTCATCCCCCGCCTGGTCCAGCTGCTGGTCAAGGCTCACCAGGACGCCCAGCGACACGCGGCCGCTGGCACACAGCAGCCCTACACGGTGAGTCCCCAGCCCTTTGCCCTGCTCCCAGCACAGCCTGGCACCCCAAAACCCAGTCCCGGGGGTACCCCGTGCCCACACTTCGGGTGGCCGTGCCTCGGTGTGTGAGGGCCCTGGCTGAGCTCTTGTTCCCTTGCAGGATGGAGTGAAGATGGAAGAGATTGTGGAGGGTTGCACGGGGGCACTGCACATCCTGGCCCGGGACCCCATGAACCGCATGGAGATCTTCCGCCTCAACACCATCCCTCTCTTCGTGCAGGTCAGGGCTGTGGGGACACAGGAGCTGCACTGGGCCACCTCCTGCCCAGCCTGCACGGGCAGCTGCAGCCCTGGGCTGGTGGCCTCATGCATCAGGACATGCCCAGAGCACAGGGGCTCCTCACTGGCTGCTTCACACGGCCGCTGATCTCTCCTGACAGCTGCTGTACTCGCCGGTGGAGAACATCCAGCGCGTGGCAGCCGGGGTGCTGTGTGAGCTGGCCCAGGACAAGGAGGCAGCCGATGCCATCGATGCCGAGGGGGCCTCGGCTCCCCTGATGGAGCTGCTGCACTCCCGGAATGAGGGGACAGGTGAGTGCTGCCATGCTGGGGGCTGTGCTGGGGACTGTCCTGGCACTGTCCCAGCTGGGGCTGCTGGGGCTCTGATGCTGCGTGGCAGCAGGAGCTGAGGCTGCTGGCCATCCCGACAGCCACCTATGCGGCCGCCGTGCTCTTCCGCATCTCGGAGGACAAGAACCCTGACTACAGGAAACGTGTCTCCGTGGAGCTCACCAACTCCCTCTTCAAGCATGACCCGGCAGCCTGGGAAGCGGTGAGCATCCCAAGCACATCTTTTCCCTGGGGAAACCAGGGTGTCAGGGGATGGCCCTGTGCTGCTTCCAAAAGCTGTTGCCAGCACCTCCAAGCAGAGCTCAGACAGGAGCGACTGTCAGACAGTGGGAGGTGGGAGGCAGATGGGCTGTGGCCTCAACTCCTGGGTCATTTGCCACACCATGGCCCCTGAGCATCGTCAACATCAGTCCCTTCAATTGTGCCATCTTCTTCCGTAGGCTCAGAGCATGATCCCCATCAACGAGCCCTACTCAGATGGTGAGTATGGCACCAGCCCTCCTTGCAGGTCCCCATGGGCTGGGTTCTGGAGGGGCAGTTGCCTCGTGTCACTAAGCCAGGCTGGATTTAAAACCTTTTTCAGGTGTCTGTCAGTCAAGTGTCAGCCCAGTCTGCTGGCGACTGGGGGTGCACAGTGGGATGCTGAGTTCCCAGGGAACACACACAGCTTGTTTCCTTGGGCTAGGGGATGGTGGGGCCCTTTTACAGCACCACCATGTCACATGTTGCCCTGGATGGGGCAACAAGGAGGTGACAGAGATTTGATGAGAGCTGAGGTTGCCACATCCCTTCCCTGCAGAGCTGGACCCTGGTTACCGCCCCATGTACTCGGGTGACATCCCCCTGGACCCCATGGACATGCACATGGACATGGACGGGGACTACCCCATGGATGCCTACAGCGACGGCGTCCGAGCGCCCTTCGCTGACCACATGCTCGCCTAACCCGCCCGCAGCCCCACACCAGGTACCTGCCAGCACAGGGGAGGCAGGGCTGGCTGATGGCCCGGCTGGGGGGTCCCTGGTGCCACCACGGGGTCCCTGGCACTGCCGTGGGTCAATGTCCCCATCAGCTGTGGGCCCAGGGCGTCCCGCGCTCTGGCCAAATCCCCCCTCGGTGGATGACAGGAGTTCTCTGCCATTGCAGGTGTTCTCTCCATGCAGAAGAGGGTGGCCCCAGAGCTGAGCATTTGCGAGAAGGACTTGGGAGATAGAAGTGCCTGAGAAGACAAAACTTTTCCATTCCCACGAGAGGTTTTATTTTTCCATTTGTTTTCTTCGCTGTGGGTCTGTGGAGAAGGTCCTTCCTCCTGGGACTGCTTCGAGCACCTACTGCCACATCCAGCATCCAAGATACTGTTTCTGAAGCTTTAAAACACAAACCTTGCACCGTTAGTGATCTTTCATTGGCAAAATAGTCTTTTCTATGAATATATATTTCTTTTTTATTTTTAATATGGTGCCAACGGCTTTTGCCGTCTTTAAGTTTGTGCTTTCTAACTTGCCCACGATTTGTTCTGCGTGTTAGTGTTCTAGGAGAGGAATCTGACATGGAAAAACCCTTTGCTTCCTGCAAACTGCAACTGAATCAGGCCAATCCAGAGTTTGCTGAAAGCAAAGGGTCCATGTCCCAGGACCTTCGGGGTGTCTGAGGTTTAATTCTTTCCCATCAGCCGCTGGGAGCTGACTTCGTGTCCCTGTCCTGCCAGTCCCCATAGAGGAGTGATTCCAGCATTAGGAACTGTGTCCTTGTACTGATCTTTGTTGCACATTTTAACCCGTTTCCCTTCTCTTTGGTGAGTGGTGTGTTTCCGTCCCCTCCTCCCTTATCTAACGCATTTTTTAAAAGAGGCTTTAGATCTGATGGTGGTTTAACACTCCAGCTGGAAAGGGATGGACAGTTACTGGAGTGTGGGTCAGGAATGGAAGATTTTATTATTTCTGTAAGTTGTTTTTGTATAGACCAAAGCAAAGAATAAAATAACCCCTGCAGCCCCGTGCTGCCCTGAGCCTGTTCTTGTGTCGGCTGGGGACGGTCCCTGGGGCAGCTGGGGGAAGGCACAGCCCTTGCCACTCTGTGAGTCCCTCCATGGGGCAGAGGGATCCTGGGGAACTCATTCCCATGCTTGGCACCTGCTTTGCCTGGCTGTGAGCCCAGGCTGCCACAGAGCACGGCAGGATACCGAGGTTCATGTGCCGTGCTTGGGACAGGAGCAAGCGGGGACAAAGCAGCAGGAGCTGGCCTGGGAAGTGGGACTGGGGGGAACATCCTGCCTGAGCTCGGCGCTGTGGCCTCAGCCAAGCCCAGGGCTCAGGGAAATGGATCTGCTTCCTGCCACAGCCCGTGCCAGGAGCACAAGCAAAACAACAGCTGCTTTCCGGGCAGCCCCAGCAGGACCCGCTGCACTTCCCGAGGGCAATGGGGCTGGGCTGGCTCATGGGGTGAGGCTGGGGGCCAGACACCCCCGGCCTGCTGCAGCTGCTGCCAGAGCAGGAGGCAATCAGTGACAGGTCTTGGCTCCAGCCCTGTGCCTAGGATGGGGGTTTGGCTGTGCTGAGCCTGGACCCCACATCGTGGCTCCCAGTCAGCTCTGCTGCGGGTCACAGGAATGTTCCTGCTGCCAGATCTGGCTGTTCCCAAAGTGCCAGTGGGTGTGGAGATGCCCCAGAACATCTGTCCTAGGAATGGTGGGATCCTGCAGCCATCCTGGAGCCATGGGCAGGGATGTGCTCCCCACACAGGTTGGGGCAGGAATGCACATCCTGAGATCCCCAGTCCCCCTGGGCACAGCTGCCAGGGGCATGTGCGGGATTTTGGGGGAGAAGTGGAGCCAGAGGACATCTGGACCAGAACAACCAGAGGTGCTTGTGGAGTCCTCAAGGAGCAGCGGGACAAACTGCGGTTCCCGGCACCCTCGGCTGCTCTCCACCCCTGCCGAGAGCGGCTTTCGTTGTCGGCGGGGGCCGGGAGCGGTGTCCGGTGGCTCCGCAGCCATCGCCGCACCGGGAGCAGCGCCCGGCGTGTGTGCGGATCTCCCCGGGACCGCCTGCTGCCCCCAAAGCCGGCATCTCCCGTGTGCACCGAGCCCTGCGCTCCCGCGGCGCCGCACTCCATCTCCGGTGCCCGCGTCCCCCAGGTTGCCCCTAAATCCCCGGGCAGCTCCGGCGGGCGAGCCCCGGGCTGTGCCCTGTGGTCCCCTCCGCTCCCCTGCGGCTGTCACAGACAGCGGCTGCCGCAGCCCCGGGAGAATTTGCCTCGTCTCTCCCCTTCTCACGGGGCCCGGCCGCTCCTCGGGAGGTGCCCGGGCAGGAGGTGCAGGGCAGGGAGCAGCAGGGGCGAGTCTACACAGGCACCTGGGGAGGTCTGAGCCAGGACCTTGCTCCTCCTGGCCCGTGTCCCATCGCTGCCCGGGACCACCGTCCTGCCCTGCCCAGCTCCCGGGGCAGGTCCCCGGCTCACCAAACGCCGGTGGAGGGGGGACAGTGGGGTCCGGGGTCAGTGGGAGCGGGAGGCAGTGGGCGCAGCGGGCGATGGGAGCTGCTCGGCACGTGTCTGAACAAGGCTCCCCGGGGAGGGTGAATGTACGTGCAGGAGCTGGGCCAAAAGCCGACGCAGGGCTCTGGCAGTGCCGGCTGAGCTGACTCACCGGCCCGGCTCCCTCCCCGGAGCCAGCGGCAGCGCGGCACCTCCGCACGGTGGGTCCCCGTCCTTCCCTGGGGAGAAGAGGGGCTGGGGCTGGGGAGCTGCTTTCTGGGCGGCACGGTGCAGGATTGGGCCCCGAGGTTCTGGTGGTCCCAGTGCCAGGGGGCACAGGACTGGGGAAGGCTGTGGGTGTGCTTTGGGGTCTGCATGTTGCCTTGTGCAGTCTCTGTGTGCCAGGGGGGAGCAGGGTGGCCTGGTCTGGGCGCCGCGCATGTGGCAGCGATCCTGAGTATGTTCCAGGAGAGAGGGCAGCCAAGCCCTGGCATGAGCTAGGAGAGAGGGCAGCTGTGCCCTGGCATGAGTGGGAATGAGAGGCTGCTTGTGCCACAGCCCCACAATGATGGAGGTGGGAGCAGGGCTGGACATGTGGCAGGGCACTCATGCAAAGGCTCCTGCCCTGCAGGGCAGAGGGGCAGCAGTGCCAGCAGTGGCTGCAGCCCGAGCCAGAGCCATTGGAGGTGGCCAGAGAGCAGAAATATGCTGGATTTATGGCCCGTCTCATGATGTGTTTATGATTGGGATGAGGCAGCTGCAGATGCTGCCCAGCCCTGCCCTGCGCGGCACGGCAGGTCCCTGCTCTGCATCCCGGTGCCGACAGGGTGGAGGTTCACAGGCGGACTTTGCTCTTCGAGGTGGAGCTCCCCAGGGCTCTCCCTGGCACCGCTGCCGTGTCTGCCCACTGCCGGGCAACTCGACAGCTCCTCCCTGTTCGCTCCACAGGCAGCGACCCAGCAGGGACCCTGTGGGGGCAGGGTCCTGTCCTGTCTGCCCGGTCCTGTCCGGCCCTGGCGCTGCTTTGGTGCTGAGCCCCCCGCGTCACGTAGCAGCCACCGCAGAGCAGGTACGCTGACCCCTTGCCTCTGCCAAACCTGCCCCGTGTTCAGGGGTGGAGCTGAGCTGGTGTCTGTTCCCGCAGCTCTCCTGTGCCATCGGCGGGGAGCAGGAACATCTGAGCCCTGGCTATGCCGTCCGGCCCCCGGGCTGGCAGATGGAAGGTGTTTGTCCTACGGCAGGATGCTGGGGGATATGGGGGTTCAGGATGTGTCCCTGGTCCCTCGAGCATCACCTGAACAGCTCCTTCCCCCCAGGCAGGGGCCGGAGAAGGGACTCTGCTGCCCGCAGCGCCGCTCCAGGGAGCCAGGGTGGACCCTCCTCATGGCAGCCAGGCCCCCGCATAACACCAGCCAAACTGGACACCCCGGTCCCACGAGAGACCCTCCCCAGCCAGAACCAACCCTTCTGCCACCTGCAGCCCAGCCCGGACTCTCCTGTCCCTGCCTGTCCCCACACCAGCCCAGTGTCCCACCTGTCAGACACGGGCACACGCCGCGATGCCGCGACCATCACCGGTGGGTAGAGCTGAGGGCGGTGCCAGCGGGCCCCGTGGGGGAATTGAGGTGAGGGGGTGAGGAGCTGGATCTCCTTTGGGGTGTTGCTTCATGCTGTCACCGTTTGTGGCCGGAGGTGAACCATTGTCCCGGCATCCTTCACCCCACGCTGCGTCCATCCCACGCCCGCCGTCCCCAGCGCCGCTCGGCCGGGCAGAGCGTGGCCAGGAGATGGCAGCAGGACCCTGACAGTGGGGCGATGGCGGGGGAGCAGGACAGAGCTGGGGAAGGGTCCCTGAGTGCCACCCTGCGGGGCACCCCCCAATCCCTACAGCAGGGGCTCTGGGGACAGAACCAGCTGGCAGCACCAGCCCCAAACCCCCAGGGCACAGAGCAGGCTGAGGGGTGCAGGATGTACCCCCCTGTGCAGCCCACTCCCCGCATATGCCCCCCACCCCGGGCTGACACCGTGTCCCTCTGTCCCCAGAGCTGTGCAGCGAGGATGTCCCCGAGGTGGAGATCGTCACCCTGCTGGGCGAGCAGCTGCCCCGCTACACGCTGCGGGCTGACACCGTGTTTGGCTATGCCCACGGCGACTGGCTGCGAGCCCCCAGCGGCCCCCCACAGCCCCCAGCCCCCCTCACCCCCCAGCAGATAGAGGAGACCCTGCAGTATTTCCGTGAGTGCCCGTGGGCAGCGGGGTTGGTGAGGGGGGTGGGCACAGCCCCAATGTCTGCGTGGTGAGGACAGCCTGGGCACTAATCACTGCTAATGGGATTGACGGGCTGGATTTCCTCACCCAGAACATCCCGGGCTAATTCTGGGAGCAGCTTCTGCCGAGCCAAGCCGGATGCTGGGAGAGAGCCCCCATCATTTCCAGGGACCCCTGCATGTTCCTGTTCCCCCGTGCTGTGCCATGGCTCACAGGGGTGGGACACTGGTGGGCTTGGCAAGGTGTCCCAGTGAATCCCAGGGCTGCTGCTCCCCCAGACGTGTCACCCTGGAGCAGGGCTCAGGGCCCCTGCTGCCAGCAAAGCCCCCAGAGCTGCGGGGATCCCAGGGGGAGATCCCAGCAGCTGCCATGGCCAGGCAGGGGCAATGCCCATGGCACTGTGATGTGGCCCATTCCTGGTGCGAGGTCGGGGTTCAGCGGGGGCCACAGATGGATTATCTCTGCTTTGTTTGTTCCTCTAGCCTGCGTGTGGCGGGGACAGGATTAGAGCAAGGGGCTGGGGGATGGATGTGGGGCAGTGGGAGACAGATGGGGCTGAGACCTCCACCCACCTGCTCACGCCAGGCTGGGCTGGGGGTAAATCCTCACCCATGCCTTGCCTCTGCTTGCAGCCTTTCCCTTCTGGCTGTTCCCCTCTGCGTTCAGCAGCTGGTGACCATCAGCACTGCCCCCTGCAGTGGCAGTACAAGGGATTGAGCCCTAAACCCTGTCACTGTGCCATGGGCTAGGGAGCATGCAGCACCATAGAGCCCCAGCAGCCCAGTCTTGCTCCATGGGGTCAGCAGTTCTCAGTCCCAGACTCCTGCAGGTCACAGATACCAGGCCTCCAGTGCTGCTGGCACGTGCTGCAAGGGGCCCGTGGCGTCATTCCTTTACTCAAACCTTTAAGCTGCCGTCAGAAATAGCCCCCTGTAATCTGCTTGTGCAGGCACAGGGAACCTGCCCAGAGGAGCAAATCCTGGGCCAGGGGATTAGGAAGAAGCAGTTCCCACCTGTCCAGGCTGAGACGCCTGCTTGAGACCTTGGGGTCCCTGGAGGGGACCTTGGGGTGCCCAGTTGGTGGCTGTGTCATCCCAGACCTTACCAAGGGAAACTCCAGCTCCAGGAGCAGGGAGAGGCTGGGACTGAGGGCACCTGCTCCAGTCCTCACTCCAGAGGGGACTGGTGGCTATGGCAGGATGTAGCTGGGGTCGGGATCCCAATGGGAAGGAGTCAAGCAGGCAAAGGCATGTGATGCTGAGGGGCAGCTTCAGCTGCATCCATTCACTGATTATTTGGGTGCTAACAAGGATGGGCATTGGTGCAGGTGACAAGGACAGAGCACGCTGGCATTACCAGCATCACACCCAAGCAGCCTGTGCTACGTGCCTGCCAGCTCCTCCATAATTCAGCACACCATGATTTATTCAGTTTTCCTGCTTCTGTGCTGCTTCTGCACCAGGGTGGTTGTGGGGACGAGAGGGTTCCAGCCAGGGAGTGTGGGGCAGGGGTGGTGAATGGGGAGGTTGGAGTGGGATGGAAAGGCCCCTTTCCTGATCAGGGACCTGGCAGGTACCAGCACTGCCATGGGCGCTGCAGGTGCAGGGTTTGTGATGTGGGTGATTTTGGGGGGTCCAGCTCTGGGGTGGCAGAGCAGGGCTGGCCAGAAAAATGTACCCTGACCCTCATAGGGACCCCAGCCATGCACGGTCATGGCTTTGTGTGAAGGGCCTAAAATCTCTCCCTGTCCTTCCCAAGGGGCAGAAGCCGCCGTCTGTGCGTGACCCATAGCGTCAACACTGCCGAGCTGCTGCTCAGGGACCCCCAGTGTCCCTCAGCAGTCATCACCACCCGTGGGTGTGTGATGTGCCCGGGCTTCCCGGGCTATGAGCTGGGACAAGGGGTGGGACACCTGCACCAGCCCCCAGGGCTGCGCAGGGCTGTCCTGGTGGGTTTCCCAAAAAGGAGCCCAGTCCTAGGGTGCCTGATGGGGATCGTATCCCTGCGGTGGCCCGGTAAAAAGGGGGAATGGGCACCACCGACCCCCGCATCGCCCCCGTTCTGCTCCCGTCCGGCCCCGCCCCCGGCCCGGTCCCGGCCCCGGCCCCGCCGCCGGGGGATGCGCCGGGCAGGTGCGCGGAGACCGGCGATCCTATAAATAGGGGCGGGAGCGGCCGCAGCGGCTCCGCTCAGCGTGGCGGGGCTGGGCTGGGCACGGCTGGGTGGGCACAGCGGGCTGGCGGCTGCGGTGGGCTCGGCGCGATGGAGATCTGGAGCAGCCCCGCCGCCTACGATGAGTTGAACGGGAACGCGGAGCGCGGCGGCGGCGCGGACCCCATCGCCCGGGAGCTGGAGGAAGGTGAGGGCGGCGCGGGTGGTCCCGCCCCGGGAACGGGGATGGCGATGGGGATGGGGATGCGGCTGCAGCAGAGCTGGGCTCCCCACGGGGCTGGCCTGGAGCGGCGGGGGCCGGGGGCTCCCCGGGGCCGGGGCTGGTCCGGAGCGGTCAGGGCCGGGGTCTTCCCTCGACAGGCGCCGTCTGCTCCCCACCGGTGCGTTCCCTCAATCCCGGCCTCCCTCGCCGCCCTCTGGCCCGGGGTTGCCGCCGCCCGGTCCCTTGGGGACCCCCTGGCTCACCCCGACCCTAAGGAGACCTGTCCCCACGCCGGGAGCGGCGGGGAGAGGGGCCCTGCCAGGTCTGCGTGTGCCCGTGGGGAAGGGTGTCCCTCCTGCCGTGGGAGTGGGGTCATCCCCCGCCGCACCCCCGGATCGGGCCCGGGGATGGATGTTTACATGTTCGCCAGCGCTGCAGCCCCCGTCTCCCGGGGCCAGCCGCTCGCTCCAACCGTAGCGATGCTCATGCTCTAATTATTTCCAATTAATGGCTCAGAGGCCTGACGAGGTGCAGTTGGGGACCCCCGCGGGGAGCGGGTCCTGTCGGGGTGCAGAGAGGGGGGTGAGGCTGGGGCTGGGGCTGGCCCTTCGCCCCGTGGCCGCGTTTGGGGTACGTGTCCTCTGGGGCGTGGGGCAGCACCCGGGCAGTGAGGACGGGACGGGACCGGGGTGGCGAGTGGGGGCATTGCCATGACAACACGCTCATCATTACACAACCCCAGCTGGGGAGGCCTAATGGGATTTGTGTGGCTGAGCTTCCCCGTTAACCCACTTCCCTCTGCACGACTGCGGGGTGGCCGTGACTGGGGACGCGGGTGGGGGCCCCGAGCGCAGCCAGCGCTGCTCTGCCAGGGGAAACTGAGGCACACACCCTCGGGGCAGCAGAGCATCAGAAAGGGCACGGGGAGTGCTGTGCGCTGTGGGCAGGGTGTGGGGTGCAGGCAGGTCCCGGGCTGTCAGCAGGGTCTGGGGCGCGGGCAGGGCTCGGGGCTTTGCGCTGCTCCCGGTTCCCTGCGGCCGCACGGCTCCAGCGCCGCCGTCTGGGTGCATGCCCGGCGCTGCCTGGCAGCGCCTCGGCCGCAGCTGGCACGATCCGCACCGGGGGCACCGATGCACCTCCTCTCCCTGCCGGAGACCCAGGGAGCAGCGGGGGGAGGCAGAGCTGTCGCTGGGGCCCGGCCGTGGCGCTGCCGTGGTGGGCAGCTGCCCCCGCGGCTGTGTGGGTTGTGTTGTGCAGCTGCAGGGGCATCGGGTGGGCGCGGGCTGCAGCATCCCCTCCCCCAGAGAGAAATTAGGGCAGGGGGGGATCTGGGGGAGGGGGCTGGGGACAGATTGGAGGGGACGCCGCCTGTGAGCCCGGCTCGGAGCGGTGCCACCCACAGCTATTTATACTGGAGCTCCAGCCTGCTTTCTGCTGGAGATGTCACCTCCGATCCCGTCTCCACTGCTGCCCTTCCCGGTCCCCCCTTTCTGTTTGTGAGTCCTGCAGTGGGGCAGGCGCTGCGCCTGTGCTGAGGTCGTGGGGTCAGCAAGGGGGCCCAGCATTTTCTTGCCACCCCAAGGTGCGGGCAGGTTGGGGGTGAGGTGTGAGCCCCCCATTTCCCATGATGCTGTCCCAGCTGAGGATCCCTGCCTGGCACTTCATGAGGTGCCACCCAGCAGACAACAGGTCCTTTTTGGAGACCAGCCTGGGGCAGCCTTGGGGGGACAGTGCTGAGCCCCTAGGTCAGTGCTCTCACAGTGTGGGGGTTCACCTTCTGGCCCTCTCCCCCAGTCCTGTGTGCTGAGCGGGTGGTCAGGATCACGAAGACCTACCACGATATTGACGCCGTCACCAACCTGCTGGATGAGGTATGTTGGAGATCCCACCTGTGTGAGGGCTGGTGGGACCCTGGGGACGCAGGG